TTAGGAAAAAGGCTTTATTATTATTATTATTATTATTATTATTATTATTACTGAGTTGTTTTTCTTACGAAAAAGGAAAGAATGATGTCTGTTTTTTTTTTTTTTTTTTGTTCTTGTTTCGTCAAATGCTTATCAGTTGTATGATGTTCTTTCTCCCTACCGGGAAATTTTCAGCTTATAATAACTATTCATCAAGGGAATATGAAGTGGTGGAGTGAGTAGTGTGGCATTGGAGTTGGTTTCTCTAATGATGATGGTGATTATTATTATTATTATTATTATTATTATTATTATTATTATTATTATTATTATTATTATTATTATATTTCTTATTTGCATTCATTCAATGCTCTTGGGGAAAAATAAAAAAGGGCACCCAAGTATCAACACGTTTCTGTACTGCAATTGTATCTCTCTGGTACATCTCTCACGGAATTCTGACAGCTGCACGTATATGCATCCATAGTTTTTTTTTCTTAATGGTAAAAGATTATAATTCTTCTTTTACTATTATTTTTATTATCAGTTGTATTATGTTGTCTCCAATGCGTGTTTTGGAGTGACCTTTTTTTTTTTTTTTCTATCTTCCTTCTTTGATTTCCAGCTTTTACTAAGAATTTGTTTTTCGCTTTGGAACTCTTTCCAATTGCCGATTTTTTTTTTCTTTGTTTTTTGTTTTCTTATCTTGTTTATCTTTGGAAATATTTTTGCGTTGCTTTTGTAGAACTGGGGTAAAGGTGGAGGTGACGTGTCTGACTGTTTTTCTCTCTCTTTTTTTCTCTCTCTCTCTCTATGTTTGCGTTAATACATACTCATCCATCCATCATCACTACTACCACTAATAAAGAGAATAGGAAGGGTTGACAAGGGGGGTCAAGGGCTAAAGCCATTCTCTCTTACCACAACACCGTCCACCTAAATATACATATACTATATATATATATAGATATAATAAATAGCGAAGCGTAGAAAAAGAGTTTACAAATAGTAATGTTGCGGCTCACTGTGTTGTTGCCGGCGCGTGCGATTATTAAGCGGAATGCGCCGCAGTTGTGGGGAGCACCAGGTGCACCCATTATTCGTATGCGTGGTCACCACGTTGTGTGGAAGTTCCAATCGTACGACCTCATTGTGGAGCATACACACAAACGCCATAACTCTGATATCCGGCTACTTCACTACCTTGGCAAACACTGTCCTCATCCACAGAAATCTCTCTGGTCTCCAGACACACCCGTTGCGCAGGACAGACATCTTTTCATGTTGACTACAGTTGATGTTGATGCATTTAAGTACTGGTTTGGTGTAAAGCGATGTCGTCTCTCTATGAAACCCTGGGCACTATTAGCAAAATCTGGACTTTTACCACCATCACTGCGGCAAAATTCAAAGATTATGCCTAAACCATTGTTTGACAAGGAACAACTTATGCGTTATTATCTTGCTAATCGAAAGGATGAGTCAATTATGGCGCGTGAAGATTACCTCAATTATGAGAATAGTATGGTGAAGACAGAGGAGGAACGGGCAGCGGAGAGACCTGTTGCACCATATCTTTAAGCTGAGGGAGGAAAATTTGATAATTGACAATAAGAAGGGTATTGTATTGAAAAAAAAAAGAAAAAGTGAAAAAAAAAAAAAAAGCGAAAGTGATGGAGCATCTCATTACTAAATCTCTATTTTTGCGTATTATGTCTGCCATCTTTTCTTTATTTTTATGATAATCTTCATTTTTCAAGATCCAATCTTATTTGTATTTCGGTTTTCTTGTATAGATGTGGTGTCACATTTCAGGTCCTTTCTCTCACCCGATTCTTTGTTTTTCTTCTTCCTTTGGAGAAGGGGCGGAAGAGAGAGAGAGGGAGAGAGATATTTGATGGTGGTTGGTGTATTTTAAGTTTCATCTGAATTTTTTAAAATTTATTTCTTTTCCTGTGTTCTCGTATATGTATACATTTTTTTTACTGTTACAGTACAGGTTACCTAATTTTTAATTTATGTTTATAGTGAGATTTTATTAATTTATCTTTTTCGGTTTTCTTTTTCTCTTTTTTCGCTATTTTTTTTTTTTTCTCCATGCATTGCTGCTTGAGGGGAATAAAGGTCTACTAGGTAATATATCGAAGATCCTGCGTGTCAGCAGTATACCAAAAACAAGAGAGTAAAAGCTCCGTGGAATTATCTCTTTGTTTTTTTGGTTGTTGTTGTTGTTGTTTTTTCTTGTTTTCTTGTGAACGACATTAAAAAAAAGAAAAAGAAAAAAAAAAACAGGTAACAGAAGAAACAACTCAGGAGAAAATGGAGTCCCCAATCAACCCTGATGTGTGGAGATTTCTTTTCCACACCACTGCTGCCGCACTCTCTGCCGCTACTCTCTTCTCGCTTTATCACGAACGGTATAATGTCGCTACCTCTCTTGACAGTCTCTTTTACAATCTGAAGAGTGCGAAAACAGACGAGGAAAGCACAGACGCTGTTGAAGCCATTCTCAGTAAACTAAAGGAAGAGGCAGCACAAAAGAAAGGCCTCGCACGTCTATCAGCACTACGACATGGAGGCGCACTGGTGCGTCTTGCCGCACTTAGAAAGGATGGATCTAATCTCCATACTGTGAGTGCAGCCATTAAAACAATTGTTCGTGTCTTTGGTGCTGATGCGGCGAGTCGTCGGCAGTTGTACATGCTTGGTGGTTACCGCACATTATTGTTAACACTCAGTGAGGCTCACCGACAGGGACTGCAGGAACTGATGGAGGATACCGCACAAACACTGCAAACACTCACAAAGGTTGATGATGCCGAGGTTGTATTGGAGTCGGATGTACCAGCAGGCGCAGAGGGAACTTACGCACTTGCCTGCATGCCAGCAACCGTAAAGATGTTGCGTGTGTTGGACCCGAACTGTTCCATTCTCTTTTTGAATGCACTCACTGGTATCTTTGCAAATGTCTGTACACTACGCGTGGGAGCCGTGGCGGTGGGCCGCGGTGTGGAGGGACGCAGTGGGATGTCGTACTTTTTACGGCTGCTCGAACACGGCAATCAAGCTGTGGTGGAACACTGCGCTCTCACTATTCGATACCTCGCACGTGCAGGACAAGGACACGAGGAAATCGCCAATGAGGAGAATCTGCAGCGTCTTGCAGAGAACTTAACAGTTAACGGTGATCCACGCGTAACGAATTCAATCCTTACCATTATATTGGTGATGTTTGACAGCAAACATGGTGTAACCTTTTTTGAGAATTTGGCAACGAAAACAGATATTATTCCAAGTTTGTTTGAAATTTGGTGTCGTTCCTCAGAAAAAATGTTGCGTGATCGCGCGGAAGTGTTGGTTCAACTTTTGGCCCGTGTACCGCAGTGTACAGAAGTCGTGCACAGATTCCTTGAACGGTACCGTTCACAAATTGCCGATCGCCGCGCGAAGGACGAAGAGGCGCGACGCAAGCAATTGCAGCAAATGCGACAGAGCCAGATGATGCAGCAGATGATGATGGAGAGTATGGGCATGGGTGGCGGCATGGATCTCTCTATGATGATGGGTGGTGAGTAGAAACAGGTGGAGGAGGCTCCATTACTAGTGATTAGTACACTGGATAGTAAGATCATTACAAAAAAAAAAAAAAAAAAAAAAAAAAAACGCTTTGCGTCACAATTAAGTATCACGAGAAGAAACAAAACAAAAACAAAAACAAAAACAAAAAAAACTGTCTGTGTGTGTGTGGGTGGGTGTGTAAGAAAGTGAGAAAGAAGGTATGTAAAAAGGGTGCAGAACTATAACTGACATCTTTTTCTTTCTTTCTTTCTTTATATATATCACACACACAGACACACACATGCACATGCACACATGCACACTTTTTCTAAGCAAAGACGTAACTCTTCCTCTGGTAAGTTGGAAAGAGGAAGAGAGAAAAGTAATAAAAAAAAAAAAAAGAAACTAAGTGGAGAAGGGAGACAAAAACCAAAATGATTGAGAAAAATCACCAAAAATTCGCTTTTGTTCTTTTTATTGTTTTTCTTCTTTTTTTTCTCTTATTTATTTTTTTTTTTTTTTTGCCTTTCCACCCACTCACAACCTTCATTAAATTCCTTAATGATTGCTTTCTAGATATATCTTGGGGTGATGCAGGGACAAGAAAACACAATGAGGCCTGCGGGTGATTCTACTGAGGCAAGAGGCCCATCCCTGAATAATACCCCAGTGGAGTTGCATGATAATACCCAAGATGGGAAAAATAATGGAGATGCAGACAAACGTCCCATGACACTTGCAGAACACGAATCCCGCTGGGGATTTACACTTGATGAGCTGCACGCAGCAACGAAGGTGGTACGTACACTCTTTCATAATCCCTCACTCTTCGTTGGAGATACGTACCTCTGTGAGAGTCGTCTGTATACGATGATTACACGCGATCGCAAGACCAAAGCTGAAAATCGTGATGTCTATAAGGCCATTATGAGCGAGGAGAAAAGTCGTCGAAAACGTTTTAAACGAATGCAGGATATTGAGGCTATTCGTCGAACAGAGATGAAGCGAGAGCGAGATGAAGCTCTTAACGCACTCATGTTGCCACCGCAGCATGAGCAAAAATTGTTAACAGATGAAGCGACAGCATCACGACTCCTTTGTAATCATACAGAAGGTTTAGAACATAATGAAGAAAAAGAAGAAGTAAAAGTTGATGATGGTTCTCTTTCTACTAGTGATCAACAAATTGCTCGATTAATTGGTGCATTTGAGAATTTAATTCGCTTAGAAGAGGCCTATGCCGTTGCTCCGGCAGAAGTGAATTGGCTTACTATTTCACAACTCGTAGCGCAAGTTTACCGCTACATTCCACATACTTTTGGTTCACAGATGCCACCTGCATTGCTATATGGTCCAATTCCTGCAGGAGTTTCACCTGAGCAGAGAAATTACTTTATAGCGACAGCAAAGGTACAAATTGCTCGTTCTTGTGCAGAATTAATTATTTTGGGAGAAAACAAAGGTGATAATGATGATTGTAATATCAATAATTCCCTTACTGGCGACGCCAAGAATGAAAATAATAATAATAATAATAATAATAATAATAATAATAATAGTGGTTCATCCATTCCTATTCCCATCACTCAAGATGTGCTAGTACTGGATTCACCAACGCTACGGAATGTTTCCTTTCTGCGGCAGTGTGGTGATTTAAAATCTGCATCACAAGACGTGATGAATGCCATTCAACACGTCACCCCAGTAGTGGATGCTCTGCGTACATTTGAGCTTGTACTTACTGAGGGTGTTATGGATGATAGATTTCTTCCTCGAAATGCTGATAATACCGAGGCTTCTATTTCGTGGTCAGCAGATGTGTCTCTGAATTTTTTTATTGCGCGAAGACTCTATTCAAAGCAACGTTATCGAGACTGGGGTGAATCCCCTGTTGTGGTACAAACCCGCCCTCCAATATCTGAAGATGAGGAACCTGACAGTTATTGTATCTTTGATGATGTACAGCTGTATACGGCAAAGAAATCCATACCACAAGATGAGGTACTTCAGTTAAATCGATGGGCAGCTTGTCACACTTGTCGTGTGCGATATAATCAGTTACATCCCTATTATTACAGTCTTTGCCATCTCTGTGGAGAGTACAATTTTAACAAACGATTAATGACACGAGATTTGCGAGGAAAAGTGGTTTTGCTCACTGGTTGTCGAATTAAAATTGGATTTGCAATGGCCCTTTCTTTACTTAGATGTGGTGCGTGTCTTGTAGGTACTACAAGGTTTGTACATGAAGCATTAGCTCGTTTTCAGCAGGAAGTCGATTATGAAGAGTGGAAAGATCGTCTACATCTCTTTTCTCTTGATCTACGGGACATGTGGGTGGTAACACAATTTTGTGCCTTTGTAACACAGAGGTTCCCAAAATTATTTGCTATCATTAACAATGCAGCACAAACTATAGCACGTACAAGAGAATACAATGCCCATGTACGACAATTAGAGGAACATCCGCCTCGGGATCTTCATTATGCTCTTTATCAAGATGAGACAGCACAAGAGTGGCATCGTTTTTTTCTTTCTCACTCCTCCGTTACAATAGGAGAACCACTTAGCATAGAATGCCATCCACATGAGCAACCGTTTAGGGATACTACAGATGGTACAGTTACCACAAACGGTGATAATAATAATAATAATAATAATAATAATAATAATAATATGTCTCTTACGGGTAATGAAGAGCAAGCACTTGTTACGACAAATTCCTCTATTAAGAGCCGTTTACGCGTATTTGACCGCTATGACACACTTGCGGAAGAAAGTGATCATCGTGAGACAAATTCATGGGTCATGCGATTGGCTGATGTTCAGGGAAGTGAGGCGGCTGAGACAATGGCTATCAATGCCCTTTCACCATTAATAATTAATAGTAAGCTAAAACGTTCTCTGTTAAATCGTGAAGGTGATACAGTGCCAAATGAGGCACGTTTCATTATAAATGTGTCTGCCATGGAGGGTCAGTTCTACCGCTTTAAACAAGTAACACATCCACATACAAACATGGCTAAAGCGGCTCTCAATATGATGACACGCACAAGTGGTGAGGACTACGCTCAGGATGGTATTTATATGAACTCTGTAGACACTGGGTGGATCACGGACGAATCACCCAAGGCAAAGAAAGAACGACGAGCAGAACAGGTATTGTTGTGTCCGCTAGACGAAGTTGATGCCGCTGCGCGTTGCTTGGATCTCATCTACACGAACAGTAAAGAGTATGGGAAGTTTTTTAAGGACTTCAAGGAGATCCCATGGTAATACGGCTGGACGAAGATGGACCTATGACTAGAAATGTACAATTACTAAGCTGAACGTGTAATAAAAAACAAGAAAATGATAATAAAAGTGGAAAAAGGAGAATACAAAAAACAAAACAAAATGATTCGTGTCTTCGACAATTATATGACTTGTATCTGATAAATAGGGTTTTTGTTTTGGAGTTTCTAGTGAGCCCGATAGTTTTCCATTATATGCATTTGTATTTTAAAAACAGGAGAGGAAAAGAAAGTATTTCTTGTACGCGTTATAACAACGGATACTACGACTTAAATGCTCTTGCACAGCCTAATTATGTAATTCTTTTTTTTTCTGTAAAGTAGTTCACACTACCGAACATACACCCCAAAAAAAGAAAAAGAATCAACGACTCATCTAAACAAACGATACAGCTAAACCAGATATGTGCAGCGATACAATTCCATACATACTATTAAACACGTATATATATATATATATGTATCGCTTACTATTATAAAGACGCACAGGAATGAAGAAAGCAGAAAACAAAATATGAAATAAATGCATGTGATTGTCATTGATAAGAATACTCAACTTCATTCATTATATTCTTAACAAACGCCATACGTAGAAACGCAACTTCCCATAAAGCGATTTTCCCACAATCTACATAACACATATCAACCAACATTTCATTGCGATAAAAACGATATAACTACTGAAGGGAAAAAAAACAATAGAGAAACATATACAACGACTACTATTTTCATACCACTTGGAGGTGTCACCATTCGCTTGCACACGCCTTGTGTGCTGGTGCTATGCTGGACTCGAATGACTGTTCTTTCTCTTCCCTCTTCTTTGTTTTCTTCTTTAGACAACCATTGTGACACGTTATAGGACTCATCCATAGCAATACATACATACATACATAGCGTTTGGACATGCTTGATACAGTGTATCGTCACCTGCATTGTGTGAACCTTGTTCAGGTTATGTTTTTTTCTTTTTTTCTTTTCTGTATTTCAGAGTTTGTTGTGGCATCAAGTGGGGTACGTATGAAATACTGCATGTTTGACGAAGTTATGAGTCGTATTGGTAATGATCCTGTTGCTGTTATACCAGAGGTTCCTCGTAAGGGGCATTCTGCTGTGCAGGTTTATACTGTTGGGGGTGATGAATTTTCACCGATTCGTATTAAGGCTTTGTTAAATAATTTAGATGAACCATCAAAATATTGCTCTAATGAAGGGGAAGTTCGTTTGGGCTTGCGTAAAGTTGAAGTTTTTTGTCGAAGTGTTAGTGTGCTGACAGAAGAGAAGAAGAAAATCATTGTGAAGCAGGTTATTCCTGCCGCAATTAATTTGCATGCTGAACGTCTATCCGTTGTTCCACTTAAGGGCCCAGTTCGAATTCCACAGAAGAATATAGGTCTCTGTCAATGGTTTATAATACCTCGGGAACACCATACTGTTGGTGTGGATGGAGGTGATTTTTTTTTGTATGTTAGTGCTATGCAGAGTGAAGTGGTTATGGCATGGGCTATGCCGTGCGCAAGACTTGAAAGTGGTCGTCCATTTCTTGGTGGTATGAATCTTGATCCTATGGGTGTTTCGTCGACGAAGATTTTTGCTCGTGTTGTTGCACATGAGATTGCACATGCCCTTGGGTTTAACCAGCATCTTTTCACTAGGCGTAATATGATTTCTAATATCTCAAATGTGCGTGGTAAGGCTAATGTACGGGTTATCTCCACTCCAAAAGTTAAGGAGTTTACTGGGAAGTATTATAATTGCCCTGAGATTCCAGGTATGGAGTTAGAAGACGAAGGTGGAAAGGGTACGTTATCTTCACACTGGGAGCGGCGCAACGCAATTGATGAGCTAATGAGTGGTTTAATTGGAAAAGGCTATTACACTGTACTAACGTTGGCAGCATTCCATGATACGGGTTTTTTTAAAGCTAATTTTAGTATGGCTGAACCAATGAAGTGGGGTAATAATTCTGGTTGTCAATTTTTAAAAGAACCTTGTATTAAAAATGAAATTTCTTCTTTCCCTGATTTGTTCTGTAATTGGAACGGAAAGAATAGTTTGCCATCCTGTACATATGATCATTTGTCACTTGGATACTGTACACTGGATAGCTTTACTGAGGATCGACCACCTGAGTACCGGTACTTCACGGACCCAAAACGTGGTGGCAGTAGCTCTTTTATGGACTTCTGCCCTCATGTTGACGAGGATCCTAAGAAAAGTTGTACTAGTGGAAATGCAATGGATATGAAGGGAAGTTATATTGGTCCAAATTCAAGGTGTGTAAAAGGAGTGGATCTAAGGTTATCTAACGTTCCACTTGGTGATGTGTGCGTGAACACTTTGTGTGAAAATGGAAAACTAAAAGTTCAATTCCAACTTGACAGTGAATGGTACTTATGTGAGGAAAATAAAATTATAAGGTCAAAAAATCCCCAATGGAGTGGGGGAATTCGCTGTCCAAAGTACAATGAAGTCTGTATTGATTTACCTGATGTAAGTGGTGTGTTACCTCCAGTTGTTTTGCCTTTTTCATACCGTTTGACTACAGAGAATAATATCACAGAATTACAGAAAGAAGAACGAACCACTACTGATGGTAAAATCAAGCTACCAGGATTTAAAACTGCCAATAATAATATGTTTGAAAGCGGTATCATTCTTTTGTCTTGTTTTTTTCCGCTTTCCTTTATTGTTTTTTTTATAGTTGCTTAATACCACATTAAACTAATGGTGCACAAAGAATAAAAAAAATTAAGATTTTTTGACCGTAGGTCTTCAAAGGGTCGAAAAACAACAGATAACGTTTTTAGGAAAAAAACATCTCCTTGGGCTCTTTTCATTTATGCTATATTCTGGAACAAACAAATAAGGGCCTCATAATTTTTTTTTCTGGTAGTGTTGGTATTAACGAAAGAAAGAGAGAGTGCACAAGAAAGAGGAAGAGAAGGACGTAGAGGGTATAAAGTCATTTATGCTTGCTTGCTGACACCAGCAAAGTACAGAACAGGATTAATATTAAACCACAAACTAACTTTTTCTTTGCTTTGATCCTTTTTTCCTTGTGGGATTTTTCGTCCAACGTGTGAGTTGGGAGGGTGCTTGTTTTATTTTTTTTTTAATTCTTTAAATTGAGTGTGTTATGCATTGCTGCGTTATCTCGTACCTCATCTCTCATTTGCTTCTCTTTGTATGGATAGGATGAAGATGGGTGGACGCATGGATCCTGCGGCATGAACTCTTGTGGGATTGCCTTATGATGATCAGTGCTTCAATGTGTAGTTATGTGTTGCTGCTTCTGATGCCGACTTCTTTTCACACCGCTCGTTATACCTGTGAAATACACCCTGTGTTTTAACCAGGGTGCTGGGGGTATATTTATCGCGTGTATTGTCTGTATGAGGGGCGATGGTAGTGTATGCTTGTGTTTGTGTGTGTGCAATAAGGAAAGCAACACCCAGCAGAAGTTGTAATGCCAGTATTTTGTATTGGAAGGAAGTGCTGCGGACGTATTATTTGATGTGGCTGATGACACGCCATTTAAACCTGACGTTTTCGTTATTTGAAATAACCTTTTTGTATTGTTATTATTATTATTATCTGCGTTGGGAGGCATTTCTTTTTTATGTTTTATTTTTTTGGTTTTTGGATTTGTTTTTTATTGCTTTATTTCTTCCTTTGATTCTGTGCTGCATCGTGTGTGTGTGTAATGGGTGCGGCTCTTTTCTGTGGTCAAATCTGTCTCTGGTGCACGGCACCGTAGCACTGAAATACATCTTT